TCTTCTGGACTCTGGGGAGGGGGGGGGGGTTGTGCACCAACTGTGTAAGATAGAAATTACTTCATGAAAGCGTAGCTGGACGCCCACATGACGTCTCGTATATAAAGGATATTGCTGCTTTTTTAAGTTAGTGTACCTCTAATTAAGGTAAAAATTGGTAACTCCAGGTTTGAAGGAACTGACAGGTCCTATTTCATTTGTCACTTGGTGCTAAAAATCTTTTTTTTTTTTTTCTGCTAAATGAACAGTTCCTTAGAAACAGGCGGGGGAAGCTATTTTGAAGGAGTCTGTTCAGAAAGTCAGTCGAGAATTTCTCAAATATTTCACTGAAATTGCTTGTTTTGTTTGCTGTGAAGATATTGGCTTCCTCAGGACTTCCCATTTTGCGCTCGCTTTTAGAAACCCAATTTTTGGGTTTTGGTACTTGAGAATAAAATTTTTTTAAACATTTGACATCTCAATGAATTCTTCATAAAATGTGTCTGTTACTTCATTATAATCATGAAAATGTTTGTTCTCAAGCTTAGATAAAATTTTAGTCGCTCATTTCTGTCTCATCACCTTTTCGTTTCACTTATATTTTTAGAAATTCAGCTTTTCATATTAATAACAGTTCAAAAATTAATGAACTGTTTTTAATTATATGTACCAATTTTGATGGCTTTGCATTGTTTCTAGCGATAAGTCTAGTCATTGCCTTGAACCTGCTGAGATGTTTTCTTCGATAAACTTAGTCCTATTTTTAAGAAAGTTATTATGAAGACATTTTTTTGCTCAGAAGATCTTTATTCCTAGGGGAGCTACTTTTTTTTGTTACTTTCTATTTGATGCTTGCCATGGAGTTCATGGCGGTAAATTGGAGGTGTTTTATCAATTTTCTTATCAATTCATTTGAAAAGCTGGTGAAGATTCTAGCTGTAAAAGAGTACGCTGTTCTCTGGTCTTGCTCATTTCATACACATTGGCACCTGTAGTTTTTACTTCCCTTGAGGCACTAAAAAAAATTATACAAAAAAAAACCACGTAAATTATTGTCGGTTGCTAAAGACTAAGAGCAGCGCATTAAGGTTTGGTCATAAAAACTGTGGAGGGTAGAAAATTAGACTAAGACTTTTGGCCAAGTCCAAATAAACTGAAAAATGTAATTCTTCTGCTCTGCTTTTAACATATATCTCAAGTAGCAAAAGGTAGTAAGTACAGTAGTCCTTTTATAGTTTCGTGCGTAGATACTCTGAGATGTTACTCTCACGAGTAAATTTAGTTTTTCTCTTATTCATTGCAGAACGGAAGGTTTCTTTTCGAATGCTGAACATTTAAAAATCAATGGTTACGGCAAATAGGTTTTTTAGAAAATTATTTTGCTGCGAGTATGCTTCGCAAGTGTCTGTATTAAATCTTATCACTTTAATAAATTTTTGTACTAGGCGCTTTCCTCATGCATGGACATTTTGTTAGCCTTTCTTGGGACTTTTATTTGGCGTTATTAATGCATTCTTTTAGCTGACGTCAACACTAAAGATCTCTCACATATCTCACGAATTATATGCGCAAACAAAGGTATCCAAGGCATGCCTAAAAGTCGGCAAGGCAAAAGTGCTGAACACTTGCTGATTAAAGTACCGCCTAGAACGTGTTTCAGATATGCAGATACAGGGAAGGTTTGTAATTTCAGGTTTTGGCAGCATGAGATTTTTATTTAGCTGGACTCGTACTAATCTTTTTTGTTTCATTTATCAACTGTATTGTAAAGTAATATTTTATATTTCCACATAAAGGTTGCTGCTGATCTCGTTGCTCCAGGTTCGATGTTTCTAGCTGCTCGTGGAGGTGCCGGAGGGCATGGCAACCAATTTTATTTAACTAATGCCGTTCGGAAGCCTCTTAAAGCCGAATTCGGTGGTATAGGTGAAGAGGTTAGAGCATTTTTACTGTCGTCGTAATGTCGAAGTCTCTTTTAAATGGTAAGTTTCAGGTATCTTACGATATCGAGATGAGCGTAATGGCTGTAGCTGGATTAGTTGGCTTTCCAAATGCCGGAAAATCGTTAGTGGTGTTTTGTGCAGTTTTTCTGTTCACTTGTATTAATTAACCTGTTGCTAAAACTGAAATTAATTGTTAGGTCTATTTTACGGGCGATATCACGAGCTAGTCCGAAGATTGCCAGTTATCCATTCACCACTTTAAGCGCGCACGTAGGGGTTGTTCAATATGAGGATTACGTCCAAATCCCAGGTTTTATAGGTGTAGCTGCATACTGATTTAATAGCGCCTTTCTTCTGATCTCATTTGTTTTAGTTGCCGATATCCCTGGTATTATCGAAGGTTCCCACAGGAATGAAGGTCTTGGATGCGATTTTTTACGGCACATAATGCGTTGTCATTACCTCTTTTATATTCTTGACTGCACATTATCGGACCTGAAGGTGCGTTCTTGAGCGTCATAGTTGCTGAGTTTAAAATTTTTTGACAGTCATCAAAGTGTTACTAGACTTAGTTTGAAAAGACCGGTATGTTTTTTTTTTTTTTTTTTTCAGGAACAGTTTGAAGCTCTCAAATATGAATTGGAAATGTTTAAAGTAGGACTCTCTTCAAAGCCCTCATGTATTGTTGTTAACAAAGTGGATTTGTTAAAAAAAGTACGTACTGCTCTTTGAAGATTTACCATCCAAAAAATTACCGTTTCGCTTCACTTTTTTGTGAAATTTGAAAGAATAGGTCAGTAACATTAGTCAGAATCCACCAAATATTAATTGGCACTTGCATATTTTAAAGACCTGTGACAGTTCACTGTTCAAACCTCTCCAGTTGCATCCCTGATTGTTGTACTTTACTCACTTCTTTCAATACGTTTCGGTACAGTCCAGAAGTGGGATATCATTATCATTTAAAAGTGACAAAAAATATCTGGCGAAGCCTTTCCATACTTGATTCTTTTTAAGCTGAAAGAAAACCTGTTTTCTCAACACCTTTACTACCCAGATAATGCCAGACGCCTTGTTCAAATGAGGGCGATCAAAAACTAAATTTTCAGATTAATATTCTCAATTGTAATGATCCTGACCAAACGTTGCTCCTAAATTATTGTTGCGTAGCATCAGGTTTTGAGAAGTTAAGCTTTTGGGTTAGATTATGGTCCCTTGAATAGGCATGTCTGAAAAGTATATGACTGCTTTCCGTCAGAAGAATTTGTTTTCTATAGAAAGTAAAGGGAAGGAGATCTAGAGTTGAATATGTAACAGACTTCCTAGATGCAGTCAATAGAGAGGAGTGAAATTGCCTTGGTTAAGAGCTCATGGTTCCGTATTTTGATTCTGGTACTGTTCAAGTTTAATGAATTTTAGAGCTGCTGATGCATGGTTCATATGAACTAATTTTTATGATATATAGATTGCTTCCAAAGAGTAAGTTCGTATCATCCCAAAATACTTCATTCTTGAATTCATCAAAGTCATGTGAGAGTATTCAAGTACTTAGACTGGCAACACATATAGTTGACGACATAATTTACAGGTATCAAAGGCTGAAGTGGAATCCCAATTTCCAACTTATAAAGTATTCTTCACGTCAGCTAAAACGTTAATGGGGCTTGAAGATATGCTTGTACATCTGCGGAAAGAATTTAATAGTTATCAACAAACAGTGAGATGTGCAGGAGAATGCAGCGAGTGGTAAGCAGTTGATTCAGAATCACTCTTGATCTCTTGCAAAACGCACATTCCTAACGTGGATGTCGTTTAGGGTAAATGGAAACGAGTAATTAGATGACCAGACGTCTTCCTTTCATCATGTCAAAGTTCATGTCTATCTTCTTGCATCAGTAAATGTCAAGCAAACAGAATCCCTTTTATGCACAACAAGTACGCTGCTCTCTTGAAATAGCCATTTGTAGCACTTCAAAGCACTTTGGCAAGGTTGTAATCTTTTAAATGCACATTTATTAATAAATCCTCTAGTCACTGTTTAAAGACTCATGAGCACCACAAGGTACCAGAGATTTAGAAGTTTTGAGCATACGCAAGGCCAGCTGAGCAGTCTCGTGGCAAATCTGTTCCTTTCGGGCCGATGTTGCAGGTTTCCTTCCGATATTATTGAGTGATAGCATGCATTTTTATATGCACAAGCAGAAGAGTTGCACCTGTCTCTTTGACAGAGAGCCTTCATTTCCCCTCAAATGGTAGCCCATACTTTCCTCCCCTTTAGGCATCACTCCTTTTCCTGCAATAATGACTTTTTCCTGAAAGACTGCTAGAATTATCGCAGCTTAATTTTAAATGAATTCACCGGGTTCATCTGTCAACAGCAGTCAGATGTTAAGCAGTTGATGTTGAGTTCAGCGATGGAAGTTTGAAAATCGTTTTTTGTGACTTCGTGCGGAGTATTTGGTAAGTTTAGTGGAGTTGTATTCTTCCCCTTTTTTTATTCCTGCACAAAGTTTTCGCCGTACTTATACTTTCAAGATAACTTATTCTATTCTATATTTTATGTGGTTATTCTAAGCTGTTTTTTAAAATTAAGGTTTTCGTCAATGTAAACATTACGATAAATTCAGTTTCTTGAGGGATTATTTTTGGTTTAATGCAGCGGGACTTTGCTTGGACCCTTTGAGTAAAGGTTAAAAAATGAACAGATTTTTCTAGAACCTAGAACAGTAAGAAGAGTGAAGTCAAATGCTAAACACAAAAAATGACTGGTTGATATGGACAAAGAGGCGCACGTTATAAACTCCAATAGCTTTTGGGATAGATACTAATTTTATACTGCACTGTTTTTCCAGCCAATCTATGTTGCCGTAGCAGTGATGATGACAAGAACCTTGCGCATTTCAGCTTCTACAATGGGAGGTTATTATAATAGGTTTAAAAAATGGACAGCACCAGTGAGGTTAATAGTACTGTAATTAACCAACGACAGAATCTAGAACAAGGAATTATAGGAAAGAAGAAATGGAGAAAAGCAAGCTTCCTACTCCCGAAAAATGATAGTTTCCTAATCTCCTACTATGCCTTTGATAAAATTACAGAAAAAACAAGAGCGCAAAAAACTTTGTTTCGCCGAAAAGCACCGCTTGTTTTTTCCTCCTCTCCCCAGCCTGATGACCCTAAACAGAAACTGCCTGGAAGGGTGACAACGCTGCAGACTAGACAGCGTTAATAGAGAATGATGCTCTGCCAAAGTTGCTAAAAATCGCCTTAGGTTGAGCATGGCTTATTCTCGAAGATTGCAGCCTAATTTGTTCTTGCATCTGGAGTGGTTTGAAGGCATGTACCTTTTCAACCTTCTGCAGCTTCTCAAAGTTTTCTTTTGCAAGTTGGACAAATAAGTGGAGATTCCTAATCCATAAAAAAACTTGAAGGCCCTCTATTTTTCACAAGACTTAATAAACTTCAAAATGTAGCAACAGTGGACAAATGCGCTACACGAAGAATTAAGGCGAACTCGCTTAAAATGCACTGACATGCTCTGCTTTGCTGTTCATGCACTCATCGGGTAATTTCAAGACTGTCTCCTCCAGCTGTAAAAAAAAGCTTGATGACTCGGGCAGTAGAATTAAAATTCCAATGCGGTTCTCACAGACAAACTCCACCTTTGCACTTATCCATCTTCGCCTTACCTCAAAATCTTTTGCATATTGCACAAAAGAGAACGTACACGTCTTTCAGGAAGAACTGGAGACTCAATAATTCAAGATATCCTTGAAGAATTTTAGTTTAACTAATTCCACGAAGAACAGAGCAAAACCTAAGCAAATCATGCTTGGTCAGAAAATTTGATTCCCCTAAGCTTTGATTAGGTAACAGTCTCTACTTGAGGAGGCTAGTGAATTAATCTCTTGAGTATTTCATATTAGAACACAAAAACTGCCATTCAGCAAAACTGCAGCAAATTTAAAACAACCGGGAATTGATCGATCTGATGCGAAATCAACCATTTTTATTCCAGTTCAGCGTCCCTTTAAACAGCCTACACACCAATTTTTTTGAACATCCGTCTGACACTTCTTTCGACTTAAAACCCAGGTGACGGCTCATAATTCGAAGCCGTCTTAATACTTCGTTTACGACTGGACGTTTTAGGCCCACTTGAGTTGCTAGCCTTCAGCAGTGCAGTCAAAAACCAAAAAATTTTTTCACACTTTTTCAGAGAGCAATAAATAGCCTTTTGTTCGCTAGTTTTACTTAGTCCCCCTCTTAAAACGCAAAAAGGTATGGAGCGTAGCAATCTGTCACTAAAAAGCTTTGAGGCTACTGTAGCTAACCGGTTCTGAAGATGCAATGCACCATCGAAAATCCCTTTTAACCTGTACTTTATCCAACTTCACTTACTTTTGAGAACTGTGCCAGAATTGTCGGCCTATAGCACTTCTTTATGTGATTCCCTGAAAAGTATCTCAAGTTTCTAAACTTCCATCTTTACTCTAAAATATAAGTCTTCGTGGCACCATCCGGTTTTTAAACTAGCTGGAATGGTAGTCATGAAAGTTGATCAACAAGTCCCGATCACCTGGTAAAAATAATGAGCAGCACGAAAGAAAATTTTATTAGTTAATCGGGACTTGCAACACATGTAGCTTAACTTCCTTTTGATCACGGTATCTTAACAAATCTTGCCTTAGCAGAGAAAGACTATTATGCATTACGCCAACAAACAAGGAACAATAAATATCAGTCATACCAAAAGAACCCGTATATGGACAACCATTTAGTTAGGTTCACATTATCCTTTGATGACAGCTATTGGGCGTAACCGGACAGCTCTTTTGCTGATTCCGGCATCATGACAGGTATTTACAACATCAGTGACGTTTTTGTACGACTCTGGTGCCTGAAATAAGAAAGATTTCTGAGTGAAATCCATTTCAAATAAGAAATGCTCATGAACACTTCTTGTATATTTAAGAAACAGATGATAAAAACAAAATAGTTCTTCGCTAAAAGAAGAACTAGGGCAAAAAGGATGCTTAAGATTCTCTTCGCCCGTAATAAACATCTGACAAATTAAAAACAATCTAGAGGGTGAACGAAAAGAGATAAGAAGCAGAAATTCAAACTTCCTCCATAACAAGTTTTGGGGATGCGACGCGAATAGAAATGCCTAGTGACTCCATCCTATCCAGAACCTCTTGAAAATCAATATTTCGTCTAGATTTGGCTCGAGACAATGCACGCCCCTATTACGACTCAAATAAATATAAATATGGTAAAAAAGTATTATTTGTGGCTCTAAAGCAACTAACAGCTCCATGACACGTTGTTGCAAATGTTTCTTCCATTCCCTGCTGCGTCCCAGTTAAAACATAACTACAGGTACCCATTGTACCACCAATTAAGACAGGTTGACCTAAAGATTCATTTTTATTATAAAAATAAAGATCCTGAAATTAAGCAAATCGTGTAAGAAATAAAAATATTTGACTCAACCTAGCAGAAGAAAATTTATGTATAAAACTGAAAAGACGTAGAAACAGCCACAAGACTCGTAAAGAACTCATAGAATTACACGCTAAAAAAACCTGTTAACTGATAATCCACTGGGATAAGAGGATGATGTGGTGGGAAAGCACGGGTTGAACCCTTCCGATGAACGCAGAGTTGCTTAGGTCGCCCATCTATTAAATGTTCTTCCATTTTTGCAATATTGTGGCTTACATCATAAATAACGTGCATGTCTAAGTCATCAGGGGCCATGTTGAAAACTTTTGCAAACGCCTATAGATACAGCAGCTGGTAGTTTTATCAAATAATTGGTTCAACCAAAGTTAATCAATAATATTAACAATAATAATAAAAACAGATTTCTACAGTTTCTTCCTTCCACTAGAAACTGAGCCAGAAAAGAACGAAACTTTTAGAATAATCATACTTGGCGTGCGCAGAATGTCATACAAGAGCGATTCACCCATGCGAAATTAGCGGCTGCTGCCATACCTTTCAAATAATCCTGTCCTAAAACAAGTTTCCAAATTTCACATACTTCCAGAAATTTAATCCAAAAAATCAATGTGATAGATGATATTAGCAACTACTAGCGGTATCCGGAATGTCCACCTTCTTGTGAGTGGATTCGAGCACAAGCAAGTTGCCTGTCATTAACAACGATATTATCTCTTTTCATAGCCTTTTCCATAACAACCAACGAGTCAGTTGCCACCTGGTGACCCAGCCCTCTACTTCCACAGTGAATCATAACACATACTTGACCTGCACAAATCTTAGTTAGAGAAGGAGGGAAGATGAAAGTGGCAATCTTATTATCTCAGAAAAAAGTGAATAAAAACGGTCAGATGGATTTCCTTAAGCTTCAGTAACAAAAAATTTTGCAGTACACTGTCTCCAACACTTCAGTTTGCTTTTGCTCAACATTATTTCACACGCTCAGCACTTGGTTACTCTCTAAAACTAGAAGAGGTGATTAAAACTGAATATAAACAGTTCCCATCTCAGAAACAAAAAAAAATTCCCCAAATTAAACGCTTCCTTAACCAACTTTCTTTCAAATGTCGATTTTCATGTTAAAAAAGGTTTCACTACTACATGAATATATATAAAAGCTAAAAGTATGCAAAAATACGCTTGTGTAAATCTTTCACGAAACTCAAAATGAATGGGAGTGAAGCAGGTCCAACTGTTCTTTTTAGCAATAAAATCTGATTTATAAAGCTATTCTCAATCATTGCAAAACCAAACAGGCAAGTTTAGAACCATTGTACTTCGAAGTGCCAAATCCCACTAAAAAAAAGCTCGTAAAGAGGACAGCAAGAAAACCATTTTACACCTAATGTAATCGAAACATAAATCACTAGACTTTATAACTGTTGAACTATGAAGCAGATATTTCGTTTACTTAAACAAAGACTCCATACCTACGTGATCAATTCCCATTTTACTGGCAGCATAATTGTCAAATATTTCATCAACGACTTGGACCTCTCCATAATGATTCCCCGCTCCTAATGTACCAAGCTGCAAACTGGCAAAAGGTTTATGCTAAAGATAAAAGGAACCAATAATAAATGAAGTAACAGCAATGTCGGACGACTTGACCAAGTTTTTTCAAAAAATAACTGTGAAAAAAATTTTGATCATGCGATACTCATCCTTAGGAATTAGTACCTGAGGAAGACCCCTTTTTTTCGCTCTAGGTGACACCTTTGTGGCGTCAGCCTGCAGCATTCTACCATACTCCTCACAGTGTTCTTTATCCTCAGCCCATGAATAACCCTCCCTCATAGTCCAGTCCATCCCCATTTCCAGGCACTCCTTAAATAGGTCTTTAAGGAAAAACCGTGATAAAAAAATATTGTAGTTTTGGCATAAGACTGAGAGAGATAAAACACAAAACTGACAAGTGGCTAACACTTGCCCAGATTAAACTCATTTTTAGACACTAAATTTTAACAAATAAACAAAAGAAACTAAACCATTACGCCAAAACTGAAATTGGCCTAATCACTGAAATCGATACAAACGAAATTTCAAAAAATGAAATACTTCAAACTGAGTTGCACCGATTGGAATAATGCCCTTTGACCCAACACCGACCGGAATGTGGTCAAACAGAGACTGGGCAAGCTGTTCCTTGACCGGCTGTACATCACCTTCAGAAAGGTTGGTTCTAATTAAACGGACACCACAGTTAATATCAAACCCGACACCACCTAAACAATCAAATCATTGAAATAAAAATAATTTTAACTTGTTTGCGCGCTAACAAAAAAGCTCGCTTATTAAATATAGAGCTGTTAAGCAAACTGGAGAGAAGTCCAGTTTAGAAGGATTAATAGTTAAATCTTAAAACGAACTGACCTGGAGAAACAACAGCGTTAGAATCTGAAACATCGAATGCAGCAATGTTTCCAATAGCGAAGCCGTAACCAGAATGAATGTCTGGAAGGCCAATGGATGCCTGAAATAACGAAGTAAAAAAAATTTCTTCAAAATTCTTCTTATCGATATAGAATTCGAATTAAATTCAAAACTGCAACAAATGTCTTGTGGTTCTATAAGAAAAAAGAAACAATACACCTCTACAATTGATAAAACTTTAAAATAGTAAACACGTACAGAAACGATAGCTGGAAGAGCTGCAACATTCCCAACTTGTCGGACAGCAGGTAAAAACCCACCAATTCCTTCAGAGCGACAAGCGTTCCGAAGTTCTTCAAACATTAACTTCTCCAGAGATTTGTTCACATAAAAACGACCTTCGACCTTAAATTAATGTAATATTAACAAGAAGCACTATTTAATAAAAAAAAATGACCAAGACAGAAAACGAATTTCACAGTATGCGTAAGTTTTTAGGGCTAAAGAAGAAAATTAAAAAATAAACATACTACTAGTTATAAAATCAGTTTCCGAAAATAAGACGAACCACTACTAATAAAAAGTCACGATAATAAATAGAAAGTAAAAGTTGCTTGCATTCATATTTGGCACAAAGCCTTTTTTTATGCGAAACTGGACATCTGTCACCCTTTCTATGTAGCTGCACTCCTCATCATAAGTCCTCGGCATCTCCTAGAGCTACCTAAAATAACCATAATGACCAACAGCAAAGTGCAATAGAAACCAAAACAAGTGAACGAAAAAGTTATACCATTATGAGACAGAAAATGTGTAACAATAAAACGGCAAAAAGACATAATATCTTTATCAATGTATACTACTATTTTCGGACGTGATATCTTTCATTGCATAAAAACCATCTTAGCAAAAATTTTATTTTGCCCTTTCTAAACCTTATTTATCTCAAAAATAAAGAAACTGTTCAAACTGTTCACTTGCGTTCCACGTTAAAAACCAAATTCACGAAGCATGGAAGAATTATATCAAAGATTAGACTTGATAAACCCTACCAAGCGCATTTTTTTTTCTTCGTGAGAAGTATATAACTACGAAACCTACCGAGCGGGAGAACCAGCAAACCAAAAATAATAGCGTCAGTGAAGCATACGGCCCACAAGTCCCAATAACACTGAAGACTCATCCTGTCAAAAATTTTACTAAAATCAAATAAAAAACGATAAGTGCTTTGCTATGAAACCCCGGCAGAGCCAGAAAAATAAATCTGTTCAGCGCAATCCTTTTCAAATCCTATTGGCCCCATTATCCTCTTCTAAAGAAAATTTTTTGCGACCACCACCGAGCCAGACCGCATCTTCTCAACACAGTGAACTAAAACTGCACTTGCAAACATACATACAACATTTTACTAGAACTAACACTTTGATCGAGGAGAATAAATTATTATTAGGGGGGGACTTAGCTGATTCTATAAAATAATCTCACAGTTTACCATGCTTTAGAAAACAATCTAAAACCTTACGCCTTCGGATCATCACCTCAAGCTTTCACCACTTCTTATTTTCAGCTCGCCCAGTGGGCCAATACTGCTCACTTCAGGAAACTGGCGATTCAAAGTGGCTGACAATGAATCGTGACGGCAAAGGCAGCCTCCATTCAAAGTAGATATTTTTTGACCCCTTTCTCAGTATTCTTCTGACTTACAGGTGGCATTCTAATAATTAAACAGGGTAAAAAAACAAACCTAAAAGTAGCTTACCTGTTGCTAAGCTGTGTAAAGCTAATTAGTGGGTAAAACTAAGCAGAAAAAGAAGATACTATTATAATTACCCGTAACGAAAAACAGTGCTACAGAAACCTCATTCTAACCCGTTGAAATGTTGGAGAATTTTTCAACAAATTCCGACCACTCCGACGATGCTGCTGAAACTTCTACAAGGCTAAAAGTAAGTTCGCTCAAGGCTACAATTTCGCTTGAAATCTCCCTCTTCAAAAGAGGAGTTATTTTACAAATGAAATGATATTTATCACGAAATCCTAAAGAATAAATTTCTGCTTGTGCTCGCTATCATTGTCTGTTCACTCTCCCGATTTTTGCAGCGAAAAAAATCCTGGTGCTGGCGATAAGCCAACGCTGCAAAGGTTTCCTTCTACGGCTACCGGATTAATTCCGGACAACGAAATTTGAGTCCGGACCTTCGCATTAGTGTCATCTCTTCCTGAAATTATTGGTCCGGATAAGATGCAGTTTACATGGTGCTGCTGCATTTAGTCATGCTCACTTCAAAACATGCTTTTGTTTTAACTGGTGACCTGTCTTCCTCGCATGCGTTTGCGATTCTCGACTCCCCTTGTTCATCTTCCTTTATTTTAGACTTGTTTAGGGACTAGCTAGTTTTTTGACGGTCTAATGCTGTATTTCCTTTTTAATTCTTCTGGCGTATTATAAAAAAACGCTTATTGGTGGCGTGTAGTGTAATGGATATTAACTGCGTTTTGTAGCTGCATCCCTCGAAACCTAGAAGTTTAATACTTGATCCATACACACCCTCTCTACTCGCAGTTTCCATTCATCTTGACTGTTTTCAAGTTTG